AAGACGCCCCAGATCCCCAGAGCTGGTAGGGATTCAGCCTACCTGGACTTAAAATCTTAGGGCACATTGAAAGGAAAGGGTGCGCATGAAGGGAAGCAAAGGCCCGTCGTCCCGTTCGAAGTCTAAAAGTACAGCTCGTGGCCTTTCCTAGCTACGGCTGGAGTTAAAACATGAACATCCCCGAGCGGTTCTTTTTAAACTAGAACCCGGGCAGGGCGAGCACGGAGGAAGAAACGGCCGTGGAGAGAACGACTCGGTGGCACAGGGGAGCGGCCGGATCGCGGCAGAGGCATGGGCTGCCTTGAACACGCAGCGAGGCTGCCGGGAGAGAGGAGGTGCTCTTTCGGAGAGGCTTGAGAGGGCATCCAAACGGTCCTGGTGCAACACCCCCCCCTGCCCTGGTGCCCCAAAGCCCTCTGCTACCGAGTGCCTCGTCACCGTCCGGGGGCACAAAGCAGGGGAAAGGCTCCCCCAGCTGTCCGGGCGGCGTTGGGCCTCCCCTGCCCCGCACGCAGGTTCGTTTGTATAAATAACCGTTACAGGCACTTGAAAAGGTCTTTGGTTGGCATAACCCAACGTCACAAGGTAATTTGTAACGAATCAGGCCCCAGTCCTGGGTTCAGCAGGCAGTGACGGCAGCCGCACTGGGGGGGTGGCAGAGGGTCACGCTTCTGAGAAAGCAACCTAGGGGGAGAAAAACAAACACACACACACACACAAGGAAGTTGCACAGCGGGTCGGGTAAGGTACTGAGTTCCTTGTGGGAACTCTTTGCTGAGGAGTGGCCAAAGGTCTGAAGATGGGACCCGCCCTCCGATCACGCCACTCCTGGGGTCCTCTCACGTCAGCCACTCTCCCTCCACCCATCAGGTAAAGGTAAAGGTACAGGTAAAGGTTCCCCTTGACAATTTTTGTCCAGTCGTGTTCGACTCTAGGGGGGCGGTGCTCATCCCCGTTTCCAAGCCATAGAGCCAGCGTTTGTCCGAAGACAATCTTCCGTGGTCACATGGCCAGTGCGACTTAGACACTGTTACCTTCCCACCGAAGTGGTCCCTATTTATCTACTTGCATTTGCATGCTTTCGAACTGCTAGGTTGGCGGGAGCTGGAACAAGCGACGGGCGCTCACTCCGTCGCGTGGATTCGATCTTATGACCGTTTGGTCTTCTGACCCTGCGGCACAGAGGCTTCTGCGATTTAGCCCGCAGAGCCACCACGTCCCTCCATCAACCGCTACCCAAAAGTCACTGTGGGAGCAAATAAGCCCCTTTCCTGCTTGCCTCCCCAAGGCACCCCCCTCCCCAGAGCTCACACACACACACAAGAGTGCCAGGAACCTACTTTTTCGGGGCAGAACTCGGACGTGCTTTGCCGCGACTTGATGGGTCTGCCTTTGATGACGGCATAGCAGAACATGGTGATGACCATCACAAAGAGGAAGTAGCTGGTATGCATGAGATGGAGGTTGATGAGGGAGCGATCATCCTACCGAGAGGGGGAAGAGAGACAGGGGAGTGAGTCTGCCAGGGGGATCCAGACCCACCTGCCTCCAAAGGCAGACCTGTGCAATAACTGGTTTGCCTCCCTCCCGTCCCTGTCAAGTCCTTTCCTTGGGCTGGAAAAGGTGAGTGAAAGATACGCCCGTCCAACTTCTACAGGGAACCAAAAGAGGAACAGTAACACCTCTCGGCCTTTTATCGTTCCGAGCACAATCACAGCAAAGGCATAACGGCAGAGGGACTCACGTCGGGGACGATCACAGTCAGCTTCGGATTCAGCGCATGGTAGACTTTGCCGATGGCTCCTTTGTAACACCAGAAGGGGTTGTAATCTTGGGAGTACTTGGTGTTGGAGTCCCTGGCCGTCGTGAAGATCTTGTACCAGAAGGTGGCGTTGAGATACGTCTCTGGAACGCAGTGGGGCGGCTGCCTGCAAACCGGCACAGAGCTTTCCGTTGGGGCGTCTTCCCTGCCGGTCGCCTTCTCAAGGCGAAGGAGCAGGAAGGTCAAAGCCGAGCCGAACGCTCGCTTGGAGGCCGCAACCCTTTCAGCAGCCCCTCCCTGCGTCCCTGAGACCCTCAGGATGGGCACCAAACCCCCCACCGCCCATCTTCCCCTCTGCTGGTTTGCCAGCATTCAATGAGCTGCTGTCTCCCATCGGTCAACCAAAAGGAACCACTCACAACAAAAGTCCCTGGGCTTTTTGCATGCATCAATGCCCCCCCCCCCGCAGCCGACCTCCAATCCACATATTTTGTAGCAGGTGCCACCCTCCATCCCCTCCCAACCGCCAGATTGGCCACCGGTTTGCCAAATCAAGATCAAGCCACAGTGAGTTGACCAACATGTGGGGCGCCAGCATGGCTGCGCAAGGCACGCACTGCAGAGGGTTTAGCCAGGGAGGTCTTCCCACCCTCCTTCCACTTGCATCCCCTCCACTTCATTTAGGGCTGTTGGTCTCCGTGTTTGCAGACCCATCAAAGCCTCTGTTTGGGGCCTCTGGGGGAACACCAGATACCCAGAGTCAGAGGTCAAAAGGCTGCCCCCTGGGACGGGATGGAAAGAGCCACCTCCTCAAGGGCATCGGATGAAGGCCACCCAGGCCACTGACTACCCTTAGAAGGAAGCAGTACAATCGGAGACACTTACACCGTGACAGGGAACACCGTGGCAGCCGCCGTCACCGTCATGCAGGTGGTGAAAACCACTTGGTCGCAGTGGCCGTGCAGGACACAGTCGTCCGAATTCCACGCCACTGGCAAGGTGAAGGTGATGTTGATCTCCTCGTGGGCTTCTCTGCCTTTGGAGGAGGGACAGAAAAGCATCAGAGGTTGGTGGGACCGAGGCGTCCCCTTGTGCCAGAAGGGAAGGGAGGCTATGCTCAAGGAAGAGAGAACCCGGGAGAACTCAGAGGTACAAAGAGCGCCCAAGAAATTCTTGATGAGTCTCATTCTTTTTTTTTAATTTTGATTTTTAACAAGGGGTGACAAAAAGGAAAAAGGGAATTGAGGTTCAGAGGGAAGAGGAGAAACAATATCATACTAACATCCATTCTATACATATAGCCATATCAAAATTTCAAATTGCTCTTTTTACTATTTTCTGCCTTCCAGATTTAAGTTCTCATTTCAATGTATGCTCTTCATACGTTGTCTATTGACCTTGACGAGTCTCATTCTTGCTGGCACTACATTGGTGCCCCATAACTCTCTCCCCTCCCATAGGCCCCTCGACATCCTGAAACATAAGACTCGGCATAAAACCTTACCGGAGAGGCCAATCTGGTGTCCCAAAATGGTGGAGCACAGGTGGGTGACGTTCCGGGAGAAGCCGCCAAAAGGCCTGAGCGGGTCCAGCGTCAGCGTGATGGCCACTGAGGTGTTGACCGGGCCGGAGTCCTCGAGCGCCTGCGGGGAGGGGGTGGACGGGCGAGCTTGGCTGCTGGTCAGGGCGCTCTCCGGCGTTGTCGTGTCGTTGATGAGGTGCTTCAAGGTCTCGTTCTCCGAAATGCAGAAGTCCAAATCGTTGAACCGCAGGAGGAAAGTGTTCCAGTCCTTAAAAGCAAAATGGCTCATTTGACCTGTGGAATAACCTCCCCCCCCGAAGCCAGGACAACTCAGAGAGCAAACATCAGCTCGGGGGGTGTGGGGGGGGGCTTACATGGTTGCCCTTTTCCATCCCAGTCTGGCCCAGTCTGTTACCAATGAACATCCCTAGAAGGCCGCCAGCTGAGAAAGGAGCCTGGCGTTGGAATTCACCTGCTCAAGTAAGATGGCCGTGCCCTCCTCCGCACGCCCCCCCCAGCCCCAACTCTCAAAGGGAGCCAGCGCCCAGCTCAGCAACCCAGATGGGATTTGGGCAGCTAAACTTTGGAGAGCAGATGGAGGCCAGAGCAGCCTGCCACTAACACGCTGCCGCTCCCAGGCGTGCAAACCACGGGAACAGCTTCGAACATTACCTCTGCCATTTCAGGTGACTTAATCTCTTTGATTTTGAAGAAGTAGCCCAAGGTCAGGAAGGCAATGGCCATCGCACTGACGCTGATCATGAACACCACCAGGGGTGGGCGGCTGCTGATGTACACCTTGAGGTTCTCCAGAGGGTGGATGTTGAACATTATTCTGAGTGAGCCCACCTGAAAAACAGCACGCACGCAAACTGGAGAGGGGAATCACCCTTGCCCACGGGCCTCACCTTTGGGGGAAGGGGGAATGGACACCCCCCCCAAATCAAAGAGGGGAGAGCCCTCCTCAAGGGAGTCATCCTTGGCAAGGTTCATGGCTCCCGGTCCCCACTCTCAGCCCTCTTTCCATTCTTAATGGGTTCCATGAATCTTTTTGGCATAAAACTTTTTATCTCCCTTTCGAACGCCGGAACAACCCTTTCTAACCGTAACTGTGTTTGTGGGATTCGGCAACCACAGCCCCTCCCATGCACCTTCTCCTCCATTCCTTTGGTTCATAACACACACGGCCATCCTAGGAATCCGTTGCGGAGAGAACCAGAAGGGGCTCCAGTTCACTGGCCATTTCAAAATGTACTTCACACCTGCAAACTCTCTCACACACACACACACGCTTCCTCCTCCTCTAATCCCAACTGCGCTTCCCCCCCCCTTCACCTCTCCTTTTATCTCTTCCCTCTTTCCTGCCGAAATAGTTCCCCACTAGTTCTCTCTCACACACACACACTTTTTCCTCCTCCTCTAATCCCAACTGCGCTTTCCCCCCTTTCACCTCTCCTTTTATCTCTTTCCTCTTTCCTGCCGAAATAGTTCCCCGCTAGGGAATCCTTCTCCTCTTTTCCTCCTGCCCCTGCTCTTCCAAACATAGTCCCGCTAAGTCTACTCCCAGGGTGGACATGTGCCTCTCGGTGTCCTTGATCAAGGAGAACAGAAGGCACACTCTGAGGAGTGCCTCTGGGGTTCCTCCCAGCCTCACCCCCTCTTCAAGCTGACAGAGAAGCTTTAGGAACACCTTCAACTGAGTGCACCGACTGCTCCGGAACAACAGAACTGTGTCGGGGGCCAATTGGGTCCACCGAAAACAAGAGCGAAACATGGTCTCTGGGAGGTTTTTCTCCTCCCAAAGCCAGGCTTAGTAGCCTAAGAATAAGAGGCAGGAAGTTACCCCCCCCCTCCAAGGTCACTCTCCCAGCTGTGAAACTGACAAGACCAACCCCCCCTTGTTTCCAAACAGTGGGTTTCTCAGTCAAAGGATGCTCGCTTGAAAAGCTGAAGCACCAAGGAAAATCTTAAAGGCACCTAAGCGGCAACGGCTAAGAAATGCCAACATTCCAAGAGGAGAGCAAAATAAATGCTCAGCGCTCCAGAGATTCTTCAAGGCAGTCCTGCAGCACTCGTATGTCTCAGAAAAGGCCATCAAGTGGAGACGCCGTGTCCATTCCTCAGCATTGAACAAACAAAAATGCCGCACCTCTATTTTGAAGTCTCCCACAATAACCGCACCTCTAGGAAGCGGAGCCCAAGGGAACATCCTGCTTTTCATTTAAGAGGATTCACCTTTCCACGGCACTCTCCTCAGGGCAGGAAGAAGTGGCTGGCGCCTCTTGGCACATGCAGGTGGAGCAGAGGCAGGGGTCCCTGCTTGTGGGTGCCAAAACTCCCCGGACAGCTTCCGTGTGCAACAGGAATCCTCTGAACATGGCCAGGTATGGCCCGGCCCTTCCCCTTGTAAAACCTGATTAGAACAAACCAACCCTGTCAATTGTTACCCAAAAACAAACATCCAGGTGAAAATCCAAGCCTGGCAGAGCAGGAAAGATCAGTTCCGCATCCTGATGCTGTCTGTGAGTGGCAGAAGGAAAGGTGGTGAAACCAGCCCCCTCTGAAGAGTTGAGGCTCAACTCTTTCCTTCAGCAAAAGGTTTGTTCCATTTAAGTTGCATTTTGGCGGCTTTTCCTAAAACGGCCAAGACAAGAAACTAGACCTGAATACACACTGGAAACACCCAAAAGCTCAGAACTGGCAGGTGAAAAACAGATTGCTCTAAAGGCACAGAGAAACTGCCCATCGTCCCAAAGAGGATGATGAACCAGAATACCCTCCCGGATGGGCAGAGCAGGCAACCCACCCCCTTCCCTGGCAAGGAGCTCAGTCGCAGTTTGATTAAGCCCACCAAAGAAGGCAGCCCTCCTAGGAATGCTTCTGCTTCTTTGCACCTATCCTGTCCTCCCGCTGGTCTCCAAGGGGCTGCTTCTCCCACCTGTTCAAAACAGGGCAGCTGGAAAGCCTTTTCTTGGCCAATCTCTCTAGGAGTCATCCTGCCCACCCACCAGACCAGACAACATTTTGGCAGCACTCCTGTGTTTTCGAAGCCTGCCTCCCCATCTTGGTATCACTTCCTGGCCACATCTGTTCACTCTCTTGCAAGCATATTGGAAAAGACGGTCTCCGTCATGCCCAGCCTACAGAGCAACGCGCAAGGACACACACGCACACACAGAATGTCTGCATGAAAAGTTGATAAGCATCTCTTATCTCTCTTATCATACAAAGCTTCCCTTAAAAAGACTACTAAGAGAAGTTCACAGAGGGGACACCCATCAACCTCAAACACGTGCAATAAATACAGCAGAAGCCACAAGAAAATGTTTCCTGCAACAGAGAGAGGAAGGAAGGATCCACCGAGCAGGCCGGGCCTCCCTTTTGGGGCCACCTCGCTCTCCGTTTATACCAAACCCTGCTTCCAACGGAGCAGCCTCGGGATCCAGAGCCAGTTCCCCCCCCCCAACCCAGGCTAGAGAGTCCCTCCGGCCCAAGGGGTTCCCGAGGCCATCCATCTTTGCGCTCCGCCGGAAAGGTGCCGGGACGTCCGCCAAGGACCGGGAGCGTTTCCCCAGCCAGAGGCTCAACCCTCTGGGGAAGGGCCTGAGCGGGGGACCCAGAAGCCGGGCTGGGAGGCCACCGGGGGAGCCAGTTCCCCCCCCCCAACCCAGGCTAGAGAGTCCCTCCGGCCCAAGGGGTTCCCGAGGCCATCCATCTTTGCGCTCCGCCGGAAAGGTGCCGGGACGTCCGCCAAGGACCGGGAGCGTTTCCCCAGCCAGAGGCTCAACCCTCTGGGGAAGGGCCTGAGCGGGGGACCCAGAAGCCGGGCTGGGAGGCCACCGGGGCGGCGCTGGGCCAGCCGAGGCGAGGACACCCCCCACCCCCCCCAGGCAGCAGCGGTGGGGTCGAGGGAGGGAGGGAGGGGGCCGGTGTGCTCC